CTCTGTCTTCTCTCTCTCAAAAATAAATAAACATTAAAAAAAAATGAAAAAAGTACAGAATCTTTGCTTCATGTCCACATGAAGAGACTTAAAATACCAGAAAACTGAAAGGTTTGACCCAGGATTTTAAGTTATAAAGCAACAATAAAGTGCGGCCCAGCGAGCAGGTGAAGAAACCTCTCCGTGACCCGGGGAACCTGCTCCTTCAACCGGGCCCTCCACACCGTGTTGCCCAGATGTGTCCGTCACTTGAATGACAGAAACAAATCCACGAACGAGGCGGACACAAACATTCCGGACACAAACAGAAGGTACTCGTGGGCCGGACGTGGCCAGGATCTACGGCCACGGGGCGTTCCAAGGACGCAGCATCACGTCCGGCGCCATCCCCTGCGGGCTTCGAGCTTCCAGTTCCTGGGCCTCGGGCCGCTCCTGGAATGATGGCATCCGCATACCGAAAACACAAGCGGATGTTCTGGAAAATGATCCCTTGCACCTGAAGAGACCACACTCCAACCCGGAGGAAAGTGTCGTCTTCAAGACTACCCTGAGAAAGCCTAATGTCCTCCTCCATCGGAGGCAGAATGCTCCGGAACACAAGACACACAGGAACCCCAGGGAGCCCTTCGTAGGGGAGAGGAACACCCACACACCATCGGGGTTCACCGTTGGGCTGAGAAGCTGAAAGGGCCAGCACCGTCAAGGTCGTGTGCGCAGCGCGGGACTTGTGACGTTGCGTCCACGCGGCTGGATCCCCGGGTACCGGGGAAGCGGAGCAATGCCGTCCTGCCCCTCACGGGGAGCACGGCCTCATGCACACACTCGGGGTTTTCACTCCCGGAGGCGGCCAGCCACCAGGAGAGTTTACTAAGCACGTTGCCCCAGGGGGTGGGGTGTGCTGCCCCTGGGCCGCAAGGAAAACCCCTTTGGGGCAGAAATTTGCATGAGGCCACGCAGTTTCCGTGGGAAAGGCAGACGTGACAGCGGGACACCGGCGCCCCCCCCCGCCCCCCGTGGTTCTTCCTAGACACCACATGTTGCACAAACCTAAAGTGCCCTGCCAGACTGCCGGCCCCACTTTAACAACCACATCCCCTCACTTCCTGTGTCTGCGCCCCAGGTTGGTCATTCTCGCCGTGTTTCCCACGTTTTCGTTATGACCGTGTCCGTTAAGGTGATCTCTGCCCGGTGGCAGGGACTCACCGACAGCTCAAGGGATGGTTAGCATTTTTTGGTTTTTTTTGAGCGATACGGTATGTTTCAGTTAAGGCACGAGCACTGTTTTTCTGGACACCACGCGATCGGTGCGTGGTTAATAGACTACTTCGTCAACACACAACTTTTGTATGTCCCGGGAAACCAAACAATTCATCTGATGCACTTTATTGCAGTTTCGCTGGACCGAAACCCACAGTATCTCCAGCGCGTGCCCGTGTCGGCTCAGGGGTCAGCTCGAAGCCTATGCATGTGGGCTTGGCGAGCGCAGGCTGGATGATGGCGTTGCTTTGCTCGCATATAGCGTGTGCTCCCGAGCCCGTGGTTGCCGTCTCTGATTAGGAATCCGCTAGCCCTGAGGGGGGGAGCCGCAAGGCCCCCAGACGCCAGAGCACCACGAACAGAGAAAAGAACAAAATAGAGTTCGCATCTTGGGCAAATAGAGACAGACAGACGGACAGACAGACCCTAAGAAACCACAGAACAAGGATGTTGGAAAACTGACCACTGCCCAACGTGGTCCTGGGAGAGGAGTGGCACGTGTGCCAGAGAGGGGAAACCCCAGCACCGCTTGGCCTAATTTCCGGGGATGCCTGAAGGTGGCCTCCCGGCGGGCCCCGGGATGCCACAGCAGCGCCCAGGGTGGGCACCCAGCTGCCCGTCACGCGTGCGGGCCCACACTGGCTCGAAGAGAGCGCCAGGGAGGCATCTGGAAAGTGAGGGAGTGTGTGCCAGACACCTCCTTCGAGGGCCCTCTGCTCCTTCCGTCCCTGTCGGAAAAGCCAGAGAAGCAGCCCCAGGAACCGTGGCCTGGGGACAAGCAAACGTGCGGTGGTTTCACCGGAAACAACAGTATCTCTTCCCCGTTTTAGTGGTTTTCTCCGTGGATCGGACATGCCCAGTC